CATTGCCATGTCTTGTCTGGCTTTAGTTCCCTTGCTGTCTATTTTTGCTTTTTTTTTTTCTCTTTCTTTTTTTTCTTTTTTTTTTTTTTTGCTTTAGGATGACCTGAGTAAACCTAACTGCAGACTCCCAAGGTCCCCAGGGAGGTGGACCAATGGTGGAGAGCAACGAAATACGTTGTGCCCTGGGCAGGGTGAGGGGCAGGCAGGCTGGGAGCAGCTCTGCCTGACCACTGGTGCGCTGGCACAAAGCCTGACTTGGCCCATCCAAGGCTGGTGCCAAGGGGAGTGTTTAGCCTAGAAAGTGGAGGGGGATGTCTTTTGGAATGAATGTGGAAAATCAGGAAACAATCTAAGAACTGTGGTTTTAGGAAGGGGATTAAATTGCAAAGAAAGGCACAAGTACCTGGGACTGCTGGCTTCATTTCCATCTCCCTTTTCTAGCATTTTTAGGGTTTTGGTTTTTTTTAACTGCCCATTCTCCACCTACATGCTCAGAAACACACAGGGAACTCTCAGCTCCTCACCTTTACCAGACAACTGCTATTGCCAGTCCACAGGCAACATGTATATTTGCTTCTGCCTCAGGCTGCATGGGAACATTTGGCCACAGGCCAGGGACTGTTTCCAGGGAGGCTGGAGGGTTGGGGGAAAGGTGGGAGGCCTGGAGCCTGCAGAACTGCTGCACTCCTGCAAAAGCTCATGAAGGTGTACAGCATGTGCCCCAAATTCAAAAGCTGGGGGATGGGCGGATGAGTTTGTTTTTTTAACACCCAAGACTGTGCCCAAACCCTGTTGTCCCCAAGGAACACAGCAAAATGCCACTATGCATTTTCAAGTGTTGGAGGTGCCTGTTGCAGCCAACACAGGGTTGTCCTGGGTGCTGGGGAGTCAGAGTTCGGGGACCATGGCTGGTGGGCAGGTGGTCTCTGTGCCCTGCAGCTCGCCTCAGCAAAACCGCCCACGAGGATGGGCCAGCGGTTTGCACAGGTACCTGCAGCAAAAGGACACGGCTCTGTCAACGGGCATGAGCTCGTCCTGCAGCGCCAGGTTCATGCCAAGCATCTGATATGACCCAAGCAATAAATAACATGATTAATAAACAGCCTCAGAGATAGTGAACAGCACATCCCAGGCCAGTTCATGGGAAAATGACTAAGCACTCTGCCATACACCATCTGCCTTTCCCCTCTCCTTTTCCAGCCTGGCATCAGAGGGTGGCTGCGCCTCCATGTCTTGTCAGATGTTCCTGCATTTCTGGCACCTATTTCCTGCTCAACCCCTTGAGTGGAAACCCCTGCCTCTAACCCAGCCTGGAGGCACAGCTGAGCTTCACTGGGTAGACTGGAAAAGCAAATGTGGGGATGCTTCCCTCTTCAGAAATTTCTCAAATGATCTTTAAAAGGATCCACAAAGGACAATTTTTTTTTTCTTTAAAGTTCTCAAACTCTACAGCATCCTTGCTATTACCCCCTCCAGCCTTGCTGGCACCATGTGGCTTTGCCGCTCTTGCTTGGTTTGCCAGCTCCAAATTCCCATGTGGTGATACACACAGATGGGAACAGGTGTTTGGGGAGCTGTAGTTTGTTGCTTTTCCTTTTCCACAACAACAATGGAGGTATTTCCTGTGCCCCCCCCCCCCCCCCACCACTTTCAA